ACTTAATCAATTGATTTAACGAGTGTCAAATATTTCATATTTATCCATTCCCATCATCCACTTAATAAATTAGGATTAAATGTTTGCAATTTTGCTCTCTTTTTTCATTAAAAAGGGCAATAAATGTATCTGGGTCAAATGCCCTTAGCAAAGCACTTCTTCAATCCTTTTTGGCTTTTTCTCATGGCAGGTTGTGTGCCTGATTTGGCATTGATTTTTGGCATCACTATGCTTCATTAAAATTGACAATTCTGCTCAGTTGAATCTTCCCTCTAGCCTGAATAACTTTCGACTAAATCAGCTACCTGAGACGTAAGCGCACCGTTCGTATCGTCTCAAATCTGCTCGTTTTGCCTCTGCATACTTCGATGTTTGGCTGGCAACGCCGGCAGCAACCTGAAGGCTAGCACCGAGCTCAATGTGAACGGTACAAGGCATCACCAGCAGCCTCATTCGGCAGAACTCTGATGGTGAGTCCGATATCTTGGGACATGACATTCGGAGAGCAGACTTGTTCAAACTTTTGGGATCTACACGCCCCAGCGAGATGGACTTAGCAGACAGTTTGGCGGGAATCTTGCCTGAAAAGGGGTATTTATGATTGCAGGCTCGCAACGTATCCAGAAAGACTCCGTCTGTAGGGGCGATCCTACCCCTTTGGGATGGCCATCCTTGCGGCTGTATGCGGCATGTGGAGGAAGATGGGTCTGATGGAGACGGGGACTGTGCACTGCCCTGTTGGTGGTAATCGGGTTCCAACTGCAGACACTCACGATACAGTCCGGGGGCCAGAAGAGGAGTGTTCAACTTGTCTTGGTGCCTAGGGTCACCTTGGGGATGGTTGCCGTTGTCACCGGTACAGTTGTCATCATCATCACTGGTATTGTGATGACAGTGGTGATGATGTAGATAGTCGTTTTGCTGGTGTGAATTGTGGTTTATGCGCTCGTGATGTGTCTTCTTGTGGCTGTCATCGGAACCTTGGCAACCGTGCGGTTGCTCGCGGCAGCCAAGGCACATTCGAGTCAAGGAGGTGGTGTTTGCAACTTCTGGATGGTCATTTGGCAACATGTACGTCTCTGTTCTGGTACGGGCTGTGGGACAACGAAAAAAACAGCACAGCCGAATAGTATTCGCCGGTCTGTTTATGGTTGAAGCTGAGAGGGAAGAGCAACGAGGGCATAGGCTGCTCGTGGGCGGCGGCATCGGTGAAGAGGTCGACGAAGAGGTGGAGGATGGGGATGGAGTGGAGGATGACGAACGCGTGGCAGCAATCGTGGCAACCGGGTGGCCAGAACTTGCATCCACGCCGCCAGAAATGTTGCGCTCTGTAGCGCCATGGCAACAGCAACAACAGACGGAGCCGCATTGACAGAGAATTGTGCCGAGGGTGCATGAAGTGCAGGCGGCAAGCGGTCGAACTATGAGAAGATCGTAAAGACCACGACGGAAGCCACGGTTCATCCAGGCATAGACAAACGGGTTGTAACATGTAGCCGACCAGCTGAGCATCTGACATGCCAACCAGACGTATAGTTCCCAGCGCCGATAGAATGCCTCGGAGAGGTAGCGCGTAGCCAAGGTGGCGATGTGCCGAGGTAGCTGAGAGATGGCATACAGCGAGGCAACTAGAATCACCATCTTGATTAGCTGCAGGTATCACAAAGAAAAGGGATAAACGCAGAAAGGGACTACAAGTATTTCTACACATACGCATACATGCACAAATGCACATGTACAATATATTAATATAGGATGAGAATAAAATATGAATATTGCAGGAAATTGGGGCTAGAGTGGAATGTCTACATTATTAGTTGTTATAACAGTTTAGCTTAACCTAAAACCATCAATTACAGGATATAGAGTATTATTTGAAAGAGCATTTGCAAGTTTCATTTAGATAATGGGGACAGTGAAATATGCATTTAGGCAAAAGTGACATATGCAGCACTTATTTTGAGGAAATTGCGAAAGAAATGTACAAATTGCGTTAAAATTTTCCATACTAGCCTGATAATCAGTGATATCTCGAGGAAATATTTAAAATCGTATTTTACAGAAACACATATTTGGAAGCTGCAAAATTAGAACCAATCCAAATAAG